ATCTTTTAAGCCTAGTTAGGCCATGATTAGACAATAATTATCAAATACAAACGAAAATACTACAGTACCAAATACCGATTCCTAACACCAATCTAAACAAGGTCTAGAGTCTGAATCTATGATCCATCCTGCAACTGCAACCCCTGAGAGCAAAGGTGGGTGGGCTTTGGTCAGTGAGCTTTTTGCGTGAATGATGCTGATGCCATGGTACACTGCACTGAGACGTACAGTACTCGTCAGTCGTCACAAGACAGGGATCGATCGGGCAATGCAATGCAATGAATTCATGGGCACTGTTCGGAATTGACCTTTCTTAACAATGGGTAGGGCCCAGAAAGGACGGGCATCGGCGATGGCCGTGGCCGATGGTCGATGGAGATGCATCTCTCTCCGGCTGATGATTGGGGATCTGAATCTGATCTGCCGATGTTAATGCTTGGACCCGCACGGACGCAACGACGAAGAACACTCACAAACTCGGCAGAGGCCACACTGCCAATGATCAGCAGGTATGGGCGTCCGGATAGCTCGAGCTCCAGCTCCAGCGAGCGTTTACTGCTCTCCGGTCCCGGTGCATTATTTCTGGGACTTGCATTGGGTTGGGTGGTCGACCTGCCAGTGCCAGAGAGCTCGGCTGTCCTCGGAATTATTTTCAGTGGCGTCCACGCGCGGGCTCCAGCATGGGCGGGGCGTGGCGCGGGCGACGGGACCGTCCAGCTAAGCTGCCTGTACGTGTCACGCCGTGGCGTCATGAAGGCGACAGCGTCGGAGCGGGATCCGGAGCGGTCGCACCGCAACTGCATGCAGATCGATTCGCATTCGCAGCTGCAGGGCGCGCGCGCGCGCCAGCGCAGGGGCACGACTAGGGAGCCGGTACGGTACTTTGGAGCTCTGACAATGGCGCGAGCCCATGAGCTGTCGGAGGAATCCAATGCCGACGAGCTGGAAAATCGGACGCCGATTGACCAAATGCTTTCGCTAAAACGAAAATCTGGCCTACCGTTTTGCCCAGGTAGAGGTCGTCAATCAAGCATTTCCAAAACAAGAATAAAATAGCCTGCGGACATATGTCGTGGCTCTTGGAGGCCGTAGGAGCATGTCTGAATGCCCGTGCCGCGGACGCGATATTTTTAGTGAAGCTGCGTTTCGCGGCTCATGTGAATCGTGATCTCCTTTGCTATCGCAGCGTATCCAGAAAGACCCCGCATGTCGCTACGGAGAAAACGGCGCGAAGCTGCCGTTTTTGGCGGTTCCTCGGGGCGATTCGTGACCCTGCGCGCTCGCGGCCCCTCCCGCGTAAGGCATGCAGCGCAATGATCGGCTCCGTCTCCTGGTCCTCTAGGTGTTTCTTCCTCGCCGTTTCCTCGTCGGAGTGCTCCGGCAATTATAGATTAACAAAGCGCCGTTTTGCGCCAAAAGATCGATCGCTAATCGACATGCATGTTCAGCTAGCACATGTGATGGATTTGCTTAATTTTCGTTTCTTCTTTCATTACTTTGTCACGCCTCACTCTATCATACCATACAATGTTTAACAGCAGACTTCACAAAACCGGGCCGTCCGCTGATCCTGAACTGGTAATGCATGATGCACCAGCGCAGCGAAACCACTGGCCCATCAACTGCGCAAGTGACGAGCGCCCACGCGAATTTTTTTATTTTTTAGCCCTTTTTTTTGAAAATTTTTCATAAATATGTCCCTGGAGGTAAGATTTTAAAATCTGGACCCTTAGCTCGGCGTCATCGTTGCTGACGCCGAGCTCTTGGGTTCGAAGCAGACGTAGCGGTGACATGGCAGGCTGCTTGGCGTCAGTAACCCTGGTGCCGAGCTCGGCGCCGTAGTTCCCGGCGTCGTATATCTTGGCGCCATGATCTATGGTACCGAGGTGGTGTCTTAACCCCGGCCCCAACCTTTTTGCCCGAGCCTTTTTCCTCTTCTTTCTCCTCCCTCTCGGGTTTTTTCTCTCCCCACTTCGCCTTACCTTACGAATCGGCATATTGGACCTTAAAAATTTTGATTTGATCCGTAGATCTTCAAGAGCAAGGTACCCTCGCTCCCTTCCTAGTTTTTTTCACATCGATTTGGTATATATTAGTCGAATTTTTGAACCTAAGAATCGTCATTACTTAGGGTTTCATGCAATTTTTAATATTTGTATTATACCTAGGTAACCGTAGCGCATGTTGTTATGTTATAGTTTCATTGTTGTGCATAACATTGGAAACCCTAGGTTTAGGGTTTAATGTTAATTGTTTTCGGTTCTTAGAACGAAATTGGTTGTATTGTGGTTATGGTTCTCATTGACATTAAAGCCATGTTCGGCTTACCACATATTCGGCTTGTTCGGCTTCTTTTTTCAGCCGAAACAGTATTTTTCTCTCACAACAATTCAGCTGGAACAGTGTTTTCAGCCAGTTTCAGCCAAGTTTCAGACCAGCGAACGGGGCCTAATTTGTGATGTTTTGATTTTTGTTTGTTAAATTACATCCGTTTTGTTAGATGCAAGAAATGTATCGGGAGGAGTTTTGGCGAAAACGGGGTCGTCCTCGAGAATTATACCCCGATGCGTCTGGCAAAGATGCCCCCGTCCCTCCTGACCTTCCTGTCCCTAACTGTGACTATGGTTTTCCAGCCCACGTGTTTCAATCGAAGGGGTAAGCTCCCAATAACCATGCGGTTAAGACACTTACTCGGATGATTCTGTGTCAAAGAGATCTCATGAGGAGGATCTGCCACAACAACATGAGTCTGATAAGCATCTCCAACTACCGCATTGAGGGCAGATTGAGCATCGAGAATCGTAGGTGCAACCTCCACATTCATATCAGGTTCCGAGACGGGAGGGTCGATGTGTGCCTGCTGACCCATTGGCGGGGAAAACCCATGAGGGATGGGATCGACTAACACCCGACGCACAACCACGTCCAAACATTGCAGATGACTCTTCATAGCCGATCTCACATAGTTCTCCCACTGTTTCACACAACCAATTGGGATCATTCGCCTGAGGATGTTGGGAGGAGAACCTAGATGCAGTACACCCTCAAATGCAATGTCATCATCTCCAAGACAATGCAGCTCCTTCCGAGCCTTTGCAATCATCTCACTAAATGAAGGCCTATCATTGAATAGCACATGCATGCTTTGCATGTCAACAAACTCAACATATCCATAGCGATCGTATTCAACAGTGCCTCCATGATATATGGTCATTAGGTTGTCCATCTAGTTCAAACACATAACGAAACACATGTCCTTTAGTCCAAATTAGACGATAGATAGTACCTAACAAGTACTTTCTAACTACTCCCTCCGGTTCTCTAAAGCAAGTCGTTTTGAGGTTGTCTTAAGTCAAATATTTTAAACTTTGACTACAAATAACTTTTTTTGGGTTGAGTTTAAAAATATGAAAGTGATATAAGTAAATTCATCTCGAAATATAGTTTCATAAAAGTATATATTGACTATATTTTATAAATATTTTATAGCAAAAAGTTGCAGTCAAAGTCGTTTCTTAAAGACCGTGTCAATGTCCAAAACGACTTGCTTTAGAGAACCGGAGGGAGTACAAACTAAGTAAATAAGATAATAAATACATACATAGATACAGTGTACTAACTAACTAGCTAGATCCTATTTAGCTAACTAAATATGTAACTACCTATCTAAGTAGCTATCTAACTATATCTATGTACCTATGTATTTATGTTTCTATCTATCTACATATCTATCTCACTAGATCACTAACTAAATTAACTACCTGAGTCATCACATTAACTAGTAAATAACAAATGCCAAAACTACTACACTATAATCAAAGCTAACTAAGTACGCACATTGCAAATTCATTTTTACTGTCAGGCTGACGATTTGAGTCGAGCGACGCCGAAAGCATGGGTCGACCGACGAGCCGCAAGGCGGGGCACGGTGGGCAAGCTGCAGTCTTGGGGCAGGGGGCCGAGAGGCAGGTGGTGGCGCCACAGAGGTCTTGGGATGCCCGCCTTCTGCGTGGCGAGCGAAGGCCGGCGGTGGCGGCGGCACAGTCGAGATCACTGTGGCCAGCGGCTAAGAGCCGAGGCGGCTGCGGCACGGCGAGGGCGAGGGGAATGCGGACACGACAGCGAAGGGGGAGAGGGCGTGGGTGGCGGCGGCGGTGCGCTGCTCAGGCGAGGGAGGTGCGAGAGAGAGGGAGAGGAAGAGAGAAAGAACTGTGGTCCATACGTAAGACAGGCTCGGCGCCAGGGTTACTGGCGTCGAGCTGCCTGCCATGTCACTATCACGTCTGCTTCGAGCCCAAGAGCTCGACGCCAGACGTGTAAGCTTGGCGCCCGCAACGATGGCGCTGAGCTAAGGATCCAGAATTTAAAATCTTACCTTCGAAGACATATTTATGATTTTTTTTTTTAAAAAGCTAAAAAATAAAAAATTCGAGGCGCCCACGGGCATGGCAGGTTGGCCCCCACGACGCCATGCACGCAGATAGCCAGCGGCAGCCACCAGGTAACGCGACACGGTGGCTAGCCAAAGTCGCAGCGCGTGCGGGGCGTGCCCTGCGCCGAACGGACGGGCCTACGCAGCGGCGGTCGCACTGCTCGTACAGTGACGTCCTGACGGGCGTGCGCGTACTGCAGAGCCCCCGCATGCAAGCTGTCCTCAACAACCTCCAGGTTGGCATCCTCTCTCTCGATAGCCTCGTCGCTCCTTTTTCCCTCTCTGCTCCCCTGCCTTCACCGCACTACCCGACGCGTCCACCTCGGCTATATATACGCGCGCGCACCGGACGCCGCCTCGGCCTCGCTACTCAGCTCAACCAGTCGTCCAGTCCACCAGCCAGCAGCTCGCCGGCCGCCTCGCTCCTGCACTGGTCGCCGCTGGAGCTAGCCGGCTGTTGTGTAGCAAGAGCAAGGAGAGCTCTCCCTGGATTCCTTCGCTCCGTGAACGAGCAGACGCAGCAGCACATTAGACACATTTCTCAGATTCGTTCTACAGTACAGTACAAATGGGAGCCTGCAACTCGTGCGAGGCCACGGCTGTGGCGGCGGCGCCGGGGTCGACGGCGGAGGAGGCGAGGGTTGTGCTCGTGGACGGCTCCCTGCGGCGGTTCCCGGGCGGCACGCGGGCGTCGCAGGCCGTGAAGGCGGCCGCCGGCACGGCCGCGGCGGCGGCCTCGTGGTTCCTGTGCAGCGCGGACGGGCTGGAGCTCGGCGGCGCCGTGGCGGCCGTGGGGTCGGAGGAGGCGCTGCAGCCCGGGCAGCTGTACTTCGTGGTCCCCGCCGCGATGCGGCGCCGCCCGCTGCAGGCGGAGGAGATGGCCGCGCTCGCCATCCGCGCCAACGCCGCGCTGGTCGGCGACCACGACGGCCCGCTCGTGTTCCCGGAGGCCGCCGCCGCGGCCGCCGGCAACGGCAACGGCGCGCGGTCCGGCAAGGCGTGCCGGAGGTCCAGGAGGGGCAGCAGCCGCGGCAGGGACTTCGTGCCGGACCTCGGCGCCATTGCCGAGTAGCCGTCGGCCAGCTAGGAGAACGACATAACGGGCAGCCCGCGGCGACAAGAAAATGAAAAAAAAAACATCCATCCATCTGTAGCTACGCGTAAAACTGATCTACTGGAGGCTTTGACTAATGCTAGTGTAGTGTAGTAGCCGTGTAGGAAAAGAAATGCAGTTCAGCTTTTATCTGCCTGGTGTAACCGTGTACGTAGTAGAATACGCGACAGGGTGTACGTGTAGATACGAGCGTCCCCACGTGCGAACAGCCGAGCATGCACCGTGATCCAAGGGCCGGACTGCAGACGCCCAGGACTCCGGTGTGTGTCTGACTGCCGGGGCCCGCATTGAGATGAGCTGAGCTGTTAACCGCTGGGTCTGGGATCGACATGCCAATCAGCCAATGCGGCGATCCAATGAACGACAAACGAGTCAACGACTCGAATTTGCCAAGTTGATGCAGATTTTGCTATGCAAAAATTGCGTGTGTCTTGTACTGTACGTAATCTTTCGTATTTCCTCTTCCGGTCGGTTGTATGCAGAAGGCGTACGTAGAGCAGTACACTTGTATTCGGTTGGTTTGGGGTGGTCGGCTCGGGGAAGCAACGTGCCGGTTTGGGTACGAGGACAAGGACACGGGCTGGGAGAGGGAGGCCGCGTCCTTTCCCTTTCCCATCATGGCATCGCCAGATTAACGCCCCCATCTCTCTCGGCCACTTGGCTGGCCGGCCCTCGTCGCTTGTTGGCCACTGGCCACTGCCGGCCGGCAGCCCGGCCCGGCGGCCCCGGCCATCACTGGGATGGGAACGGATGCGATGGCGCGCGGAGCTCGCGCACACTTGCGCGAGGAGACGTGACGTGCCGGGTCCGCGGCGCGCGCCCAGCCGCCCCAGACGTCGTATGTGCCTGGAGCCCTTGACAGATGACTGGTCGAGTGCTAAACCGGCCAGGATAGAAATGCTTTGCTGTGGATGAGCAGTTAAGCACAGAGGATGAGAAGCACGGCGGATAAACGGGCACCCTGAATTGATTCGCGATTCCGCCGGCGCGGCCGTCGTAGTGCGCACCACATCGGTTACACGTCCGGACTGGATGTCGTCCCCTCGTCGGCGGGCGGAACACAAGTTCGGCGTTCGGTTCTGTTTGTGTCTATGGGAATATGTGCATTCCATTTCCACGGCTCCAAACGCTGCTCCACCACCTTTTCGTGGACTTCGCGATTCTGAGGGAACTCGTGGAAGCCGAATGTCGTACGGGAGAGTGCCAACTGAGGTGGAGGTTTCCTTAAAAAAAAACAGAGGTGGAGGTGACGAGGCGAAATTCGATCGGGGTAAAGTGCCACGCTAACATGTACTTAGGGGCAGATCTAGAATTTTTAGCAAGGTAATGTCACATAAAAAAATTATTAGCCTAGCTTACCAGCCATGAGCCATGGTATAGTGTTTGTCTCTCACAATAAAACAACATCAGCCGGGTTATCAGCCGCAAAAACTATTAACCGAACAGCTATATAATTTGGTAAATGGTACGGCTAGCGCCTGGATATTCGGACGAGACGTCGCGTCCGGACGCGGCTCTGACACCTGTGCCGCTCCCGCGTCCGCATCCCGCCTCACGCCCTGCGTCCCGCGTCCCGCCTCTCAGCACCCGCGCCCGCGTCCGTCACAGGGACCCGCGCCCCACGTAGCGACGGCCACCGGCCGCGCCGTGCAACACCCCGATCCACTTTTGCAACATCCGGACGAAACCTTTGCAACATACGTCTAAAACAGATGAAACATTTGGAACATACAGTTGAAACACCATTGCAACATGTGCAACATCCCGATCTACTTTTAAAACATCCAGATGCAACACTTGCAACATACAAAAGAAGACAGATGAAACACTTGAGACATGTGTCTGAAACACTTGCAACATACATGTACAAAAAAAACAGATGAAACATTGGGGATAGACGCTTACGTGTACAACCATTGCAACATATGCAACATCCCGATCTACTTTTGCAACATCCCTATAAAATAATTGAAACATACATCTGAAACAACTGAAATACTTGAAACATGGGCTTGCAACATGTCTAAAAAGCGTCCAAAAACACTTGAAACACAGCATCACCGCGCGGCCATGACCTACCTTGTGGGCAACTGCGGTGGCGAAGGCTCACTGAATGGTGCGCGCACGCCCGCCATGCCCGTAGTAGGCTGAGGGAGAGGAGACGCTGCCGAATCTGAGGACAGCGCCGCCGGTTGTGGTAGAGGAGGGTCAGCGACTTGCTTGGATCTCGCCGGGTGGGGGAGAGGGCCACCAGATCTGCGGTCGTTGGACGCTCCCGGATGGTGAGGACGACAGGGTGGTGGGGGGAGGGCGCTGCCGGGGTAGGAGAAGGAGCTGCCGGGGTGGGGGAGGAGGAGACCAGGGGTGGGGGAAGGAGCCACCACCGGCCAGGGAAGCAGCGACGGCCGCGTCGTCGGGTGTGGGGCGGGACGCGAAGGGATAAGGATGGGGAGGGGCGTGAGCGCTGCGGGAGTGAGCGGTGGGAGGCGTCCGTTCGTCTGGACGTCTTAATCATATCATTATCGTTTGGTAAAAGTCTTTACTGATTTGGTATACAATTACAAAAATTGCAGCATAATTCGATATATAGACACAAAATAATATGATAAGTATTAAATTAAATAGTAAAGTTGATTTTTTCACAAATTACAATATAAATAGTTGAAATGATATATTGATAATCTGAAATATATAAGAGTCTTGCTTTACTATGTGTCTGACTTTTGTAGCAACGATTGTGTAAGACAACATGAAAGTATGTATGCTTTTTCTACAGAAAAATACGAGACGATAATTGCATGTTAGCATCTCACCTCGGCGACTCAACCTTTGTTGTCCGCTTGGTGTAAAAGTTAGTAGTTGGACTCGTTAGGTCTTGTTTCAAAACGCTATAAGTTGTGTAAGTTTGGATGTTGGAATAAGTGATCTCAAACTATGGACTGTATGGGCTAACGCCTTAACCGTTTCCATGCCTGAGTCAAGGGGAGTACGAGACTCTCGTATGTGCCGCGATCGGGGGCACCCAAGTGATCGAGAGTTGTGGCCTCTCGTCACACAGCGCCAATAAGAGGGGGGTTCCCACCCTGAGGAACCAATTCCAAGGAATGAGCTAATACACATCTCCTTCTAAGTTCTGTGCTGGAGTGACAAGAAGGTTGTTACGCCGCTGTCCCTGCTTCCACATTGACAACCAAGAGGATGTAGATGTCTTCCTCACCGTCTTCCTCATCGATGTCCCAACATCCAAAGGACATCGGTGCCTTCCTCATCGTCTTCCTCTCCACCTTCCTCATCGACGTCCTGGCAGAGGAGAATGGCAACCCACGGCTCCCTCGATGACCTCCATCGGCAGGGGTGGAGCCAAGATTTGGGCATAGGGGGGGCCGTTGAAACCGACAACCAACTATCATGTCTGAGAAGATACATATACGGCCAAAGTATATACAGTAGTGGACCTAGAAATTTTTACATGCCCAAACGAATCTTACTATGTAGAAATATTTGTCTATTTTTTAGAGTTTCTCTTTTATACAAATAAAAAAATCCCTTTGCACTTCACTGGTGAGCCCGGCGGCTACCTAGGGTCGCTAAGCGGTGGTTTAGCCAATATTGAGTATACATGACAACCAAACAAATGGTTGTATTACGATACAAAACAAATATAAAAATATAAAAAAGAACACCGAATATTTCAGAGAAAAAGAATAAAATTAATTAATAAAATTAATTAGCCCTAGGTCTTTAACCGTTCACTTAATCAATCTAATTTTTAGATTAGAAAAAAGAATCACAATAATAACATGAACAAAGAAGATAAAAAAGATAACATGAAGACTAATTCTAAATAATTTAAATGCTATTAAAGTTTAATTTAGAGGGAGAGCAAACAAGAAAGCACTGATTACATTTAACAAACTAATTAGAGAATGTTCTATGAGGACGATCTAGATGTTTGATAGAAAATAATAAATAAAAGGAACAAAATAGATAAAGAAAATACTAAGAAGCCAAATTTTAATTATATAAGATTCTAAAAGAGAAGAAAATTTTCATACAAATAACATCATTAACTAGTTAGGTGGAACATTAAGTAGCTAATTAATGGAGTGTATTAACCCGGGGGGGCATGAAATGTTGGCGAAAAAAATACATGCGGATGGTCCGCATCTGCGCCCGTGCAGATGTCCAATCCATGCATGATGCGTGTCCCACGCCGTGAAGGACTGTTCATTTGCATCCGGCTTATCAACTACAATCTACAGTATTTTTCTTTCACAACAAATCAGCTTCAGTCAGCTTATCAGCCGACTTTAATACCAGTCGAACAGGGCCTCTGAACGGCTCGGTTCGCAACTCGCAACATGTACACGTGGTGTGATTTCACTGGACGTCCACACCATGCCAGGTGCAGATGGTCCCTACATAATTTTTTTTCTCGAATGTTGGGGGTGCCTGGTCCCCTCAGCCCCCTTTTGTCTCCGCCACAGTCTACCGGTGGTGGATTACCCTAAAGATTACGGTTAGAGCGTCTCCAGGAGTTCCCTAAATATTCCTCCTAAAAAGTCTATGTTTACCCACGCCTAAAAAGGCTTTAGAAGAAAAAAAAAGAAGTTCATCTCCAATAGTTCTTAATATCTGACTTCCAAAAAATTAAATGTTGGTCCCATTTGACTTTTTTTTTTCTGTAGTCTTCTTTTTTTCCACGCAAACCTCTTCGTCGCCGCGCGTAATCACGCCTCCGCCACCTGCTGCTACTCTTCTTCCCTTCGCTCCTACTCTTCCGTTGCGGCACGCCGCCGCCGCCGCCTCCCAGTCCCAGGTGTGCATTTTGATTTGATGGACTTGGATGAGGATTCTGGTTTCCAACAGTATGTTGCTGTGAAGCTTGATTGGCACGTTCTACTTGGTCGATTTATGGCGTGGTGAACAAGTGTTACCACACGACAACGGGCATCTTT